CCTGTGTGCTCATCCCAGGATCCCACAGCACCGTGCTCCCTGCTCCTGTGTGCTCATCCCAGGATCCCCCAGCGCCGTGCTCCCAGCTCCTGTGTGCTCATCCCAGGATCCCCCAGCACCGTGCTCCCTGCTCCTGTGTGCTCATCCCAGGATCCCCCAGCACTGTGCTCCCTGCTGCTGTGTGCATGCCCCAGGATCTCTCCTCCAACACACTATGCTTCCAGCAAGGGTCCACATACTTCAGGGAGAGCTGGGAGCTGGGTCTGCAGTCCTGTGGCTGCCTTCCTGGTACCTGGTGCATAGCAGGGGTTTAGCCAGCAAATGTTTGAGGACTGGGGGTAGGGAGTGCATCCAGTCAGGCTCCAAGGGGGAGGTACCACTTGGTTAACCTTGAGGTAAGCCCCTGCTAAGGGTACCTGGCCAGTCCTGAGCACCTACTGGCAGGAATCTCTGGGTGCTCAGATGTCTGGACACCTGTGTCCCACACCAGAGCAGGTGGGTCTGGCTGGGAGGGAGTCACCCAGGGGCGACCGAGATGGAGCTCCTGGCTCCTGGGCGTCTGGGGACGAGGCAGCCAACAGAGGGGGCTGAGGGCAGGGGCTGTGTGCCTCTCCGACTTTCAAACTCATCTGCCGCGAGGTTCCATGCACGAAGTAACCGTGGACATGGCTGCTCCCTAACAGCGTCCTCCCTCTGGACTCTTGTTTTTGCTCATCTGGTGCCTCCGTGGGCACTGAAGATTATCAGCTGTCCTTGGACGTGGTTAAATATTCACCGCTGCTTCGGCCTCTGACCCACACGCCAACACCGACTTTCTGTGTCTAAGCAAAGAGAAGGGTGCGCGGGCAGAGCGGCAGGAAAACATTTTCCAACTGACGGCCCACGGCACTTGTGCTCTGTCCACACACACGGGGCCTCCGCCCCGTGACAGACAGCTCCTCATGGCCACTGTCCCCAGCTGGGAACTGCTGTGACCACACTAGCAGTGAGCGCCTGGGTTCCCAGGGACCCTACCCTGCATACGCTGCAGCAGTCCTGCCCCAGCGGTCCTTTGTCATCCAGGCCTTCCCTGCAGGGGTGCGGCTTCTGCAGCAGTGGAGCCTGCCTCCCCCCTTCCAGCAGGCTCTCCCACCCACATGTGCACAGATGGACAGTTACCTCTCAATGGTGTGTCCCTGTCAGGACGCCTCTTGGAACACAATGGATCAGACAGACACAGAGTGAAAGAGAAAGCAAGAGACTGAAACAGACGGAGCAGACACCTGCCACAGAGCTGGCCGGGCTGCAGGCCACAAACCCTGCCAGCTTCTCCGGCCTGAGTTGTCACCGCTGCCTCCCAGGGTACACAATAGCGGGACAGTGGAACCGGCACGCCTACTCAGGCACTCCTGCCTTGGACGCAGGCACTGCAGCCTGCCTTGTCGCCACAGGCTACAGCCTCATCCCAGGCTTATCTTTACAGCAGGAACTGGACAACAGCAGGCTGGTTTTTGAGCCTATATAGTCCCAGCAACTATACTTTCTAAAGCAATAAAGCGACGCGAGGTCAGGCCCCAAGGCCGTGGGTGCCTGCTGCTTGGGAATCTGAGGGCTGTGAGGACAGGCGACCAGGTCCCTCGCCCAGATCTGGGGACAGGCTCGGCAGCAGTTCCCAAGTGGACCCAAGGAAAGGTAACTGCAACACGGAGCCACATCCAGTCATCATGAACCAGGAGGCCAAGGATGAGGGACACAGACGCTTGCCCTCCACACCAAGGGGCCGCACTCACAGCACGCTTAGACTGTCCCAACAAAGGCCCTTGAGCCACGGTCACGTCCATCACAACAGACGGAGAGGGTAGTGTGTGTCTGACCCAGGGGCTAGCACCCCCACACCCCACATGGGGAGCCTGTGTCCCAGCCCTGCTTCCTGCTGACTCTCTCAGAGGCAGCAGCTGGTGCCCAAGGCCTTTGCTCCCTGCCACCCGCCCTGTGCCAGACAGCTCTCCATGACCACTGTCCCCGGCTGGGAACTGCTGTGACCAAATGGAGTTCCCGGCTGATCGCTCCGGCCTGGCCCGGCCCTGGCTCTGGTGCACATCTAGGGCCTTCAGATACAAACCAACCACATGGAAACCTGCACTGCAGATAGAAAACCAGGACGGAAGGTGAGTGGATGGCGGGAACAGGCGACACTCGCCAGGCCGCAGGCTCAGTATGGCTAGAACAGCAGGCTCCCACAGCAGCACCCCACTTCTCACAGTGGGGGAAGAAGAGAGCTTGCCCCAACAGCGCCACTCTGCACTGGACAGACCACTGACCCCAGCTGACCAAGAAGGGGACGTAGCCCTGCACTGACCCCCAGGTCACTGCTTGTGACGCTTGTCCTTGCACGGAGACCTCGCCAAGGCTGCATGCCTTAGAAACAGGTGTAAGGAGACCTGGCACCTCACCGACTCTAAAACTGAAAACAGCAAAGGCACAGTGGGCCAAGCATCCCATGTAGGGAGCAGGTTCAAGTCCCGGCCACTCTGCTTTCTACCCAGCTTCCTACTAAGGCACCTGGAAAAACAGTGGAAGATGAACCAAGAGCTTGGGTCCCTGCACCCACAGGAGACCCGGATGGAGTTCCAGGCTCCTGGCTTCAGCCTGGCCCAGCACTGGCCCAATGGGCTGTTTGGGGAGTGAACCAGAGAATGTGAGACCTCTCTGTAACACTGCCTCTCAAACAAACAAAGCAAATGTTTCAACCACTCAATGAATGTTTTTTTAAACCAGTAGAGTGAAGCCAGCCTCTGTGGTAGACTCCAGGAGTCCAGCCACAGTCTCCCTGCTTCACATTCCAGCTTGGAACGCTGGGGTCCCATTCCTGCCTTGGCTCCCAAGTTAGCTTCCTACCCACCCAAGCCTGGGAGGCAGCAGCGGCGGCTCAGCTGTCTGGGCACTTGCCGTCCACTTGGAAGACCTGGCCGGAGCACCCTGGCACAGCCCAGGCTGCATGGGCATCTGGGGGTGGGGTCCCAGTGGAGGAACACTCTCACTGCCCCTGTGGTTCCTGCTTCTGGAATAAATATGTATAATTTACCAAAAACATAAAATAGCACTTTATTCCAACAGCTCCTCAGCCATCTCAGCACAAGTCTAATGTGCAACATCCGCCAAATTCAGTTCCCAACCAAGTCATTTCTGTTGCAACTACTGCCCTCCCAGCATCATCGTTGACGGCAGTCCTGGGCTGCCCTGTGGGGATACCTGCCCAGGACACTAGAAAGCAGGCCTCAGCCGCAGGGCCGTGGGACGGGGCGAGCAGCCAGCTGCATGCCCGGGTGCCTGTCCACTTCTGCTCTGGCGTCCCCAGCCAGCTCCCACCACAGAGGAGTCCCTTGGAAGCCTGGCACTAAACTGTTGCTGAATTAACTCTCTTGGTTGTTGCCTCAATGAACACCTATGGTGAATGCCAAGCACACAGGCGTGCCCAACACTGCCCTCAGTGAGCTGGACCCTGGGTGGGAGCAAGTCAGACCCAGCAGAGGTCCTGAGGTGGGCAGCACCCAGCCAGAGCTCAGCGGCCAGGTCCCTCTAGGGCAGGCAGACACAGGCAAGACACGCCACCAAGCCAGCCTCATGTTCAAAACCAACAGGAGCCACAGCTCCACTGACTGCTGGAGGATCCTGGCTGGCCAGGTCAAAGTGACAACAAAAAGTCAGATCACGGATGGGGCCAAGGGGTCGGTGGTCAGAGCCAGCCAAGGAGGGGAGGCGGGCAGCAGCCCAGGACTCTGTGCACACCTGCTGCGTGATCAGGAAGGAGGCTGCCTGGTAGACGACAAGGCTTGGGGGTCTCCAGTGACTGTGGGCCAAGCTGGCCATTCACGCCCTAAAAACGCCTTTTCCAAAGCTGCCTGCTCTTGACGCAAACCAACACCTCGGAGACGTTTCCTCTGGCTGCACACGGCCCTCCAAACACACACAGCTGCCAGGATGGCCAGGGGCTGAGCAGCCAGGGCAAGGCATTGCACGGGCTCCTCCTCCACGTCGCCAGTCAGCCTGGGACACATCCACCTCTGGCCTGGGGGAGGGACGCCAGCACCCCCTTTCTGCCAGTGACACAGACACTCCCCCGAGTACGCCAGCCTCTCCCACCTCGTCCTTCTCTCAGAACCTTCCTCCTGCCAAGCTGCAGATTCCAAGTGTCTGCCAAGGTCTCCCCAGCCGGCCCCTTCCATGGAATGAACAAGGTTGAAGCGACAGACCCGTGAAACACTCCTGGGAGTGCACAGGGACCTGACGCCCAGCCGCCCAACGCCCAGCCCCTCCAGTCCCCACACCCAGCCATCGGGCTGCCCACTGAGGACAGGACGAGATGCTGCCGGTCCCACCTGCCGTCTGGGCAAGCGAAAAAGGGCTCGCCCCGCAGGCTCTGCCTCCAACAGCCAAAGACACACGGTCACGGACGCTTGTTTTTCGACAGGACATTTATTAAGAAGGCCCTGGTCACCAGCCACACACACGCACAGGATGTCCCGCTCAGCACATTCCTGGACAGCGTCTGTGGCCCAAGTGTCTACGGCAGGGGACAGAACATGGCACTGAGACACCTCGTCTCTCACACACACCAGGGAGTGCCGCCTGGGGCAGACACGAAACACCCTTCTCTGCTGTTCGTTCGCTGCCTTTGCCCGGTGGGCAGGCCGCAGTGGCGGCTGGACAGACCCTTCACTGCCTGGCCGGCTCCCTGGAGCCAACCCAGCCCCCGGCCGACCTCTGTTCTGCAAAAGCCACCTGCAGCATGGTGCCACAACAGGGCAGCTCCAAGTCACATGACCTTCTCAAACCCCTGCAACCAGCAGCCAAACCCAAAGGGAGCCCTTGGCAGGTCAGTCACGGCCCCCAGCCTCGGCAAGACCGTCCCTGCAGGCTGTCCACTCTCCAATTGCATCACAAAGAAAACATTAACCCCCAGGTCGCCAGCCGGCAGCCCGAAGACAGAGCAAGGCTAGCACGGTTACACCTCGGCTTACCTGGGGTGTGGGTCTGGGCTGGTCCGGCCACTGACTGTCACATCTCCCAGGGGCCGGGTCCGGGACTCCAGCCCTGGCTGGGAAGGAACAGGACAAGCCGGTTACAACGTGTCCCCTGGATGCCCCCCAACAACCGCCACACACAAGGACAAAGTCACGGTGACCCCGGCTTCTCCCAGGGTGGCTCTAGGTCGTGCCGGGTCCCTGTCAGCACAGCCCAGCCCCCCATCAGCCCCCCATCAGCCCCCCACCAGCCCTGCCAGGCGCCAAGCCTCTTGCACTTCCCTGGGTTTGGGGTGGCGGACGTCAGGGCGCCCCACTCAGTGCCGTAAATGACTTATTGGAAAACACCTGACACGGGGCACATCGCCTCCTCTAACTTTTAACAAGAGTTTGGGTGTGTGCGTGAGCGCCCTGTGGTCCCCGGCCGGCTGGGGTGGGCGTGCAGTGCACCTGACCACTCCTCCCCGTCCCCAACCTCCATCTGTCCCCACCCAGCTGGCAGTGCGCTGTCCTGCGGAGCCTGCGGGGAGCCCCTGGCTGCCCCAGCGCAAGGTGGCCTCGGGCGGGTGACAGGGCGGGTCTGTCCTGGGCACGGAGTTACCTCGCCTCGGGGGTCTCTGGGAGTCTCTCAAGCGCCCCAGGGTGACACCCGAACTCCACGGCGAGTCCCCGCCGCCGCGGGCCTCTTCTCCCAGCGGGACGCCAAAGGCCCCCGGCGACGGGCGGTCTCCGACTCCGCCGACGGTCGCGAGCGCCCGGCGGGGCACCGAGCGCGGGCAGCCCCGGGACCCCGCACGGGTCCCCGGACAGTGTCCTCGCCCCGCGCCCCCGGGCCACGCGCATGCGCCGCCCGGCCCCTCCGGCCCGCGTCCGCCGCCCTCGCGGCCCCGGGCACCGCAGGCCCGGCCCGCGAGCGGACCCCGCGCGCGCGCGTGCCACCCGCCCGGCACCTGGGTCCGCGGGCCGAGCGCCGAGGCGGGGAGGCGGCGCCAGGCCGGGCTCCAGCGGCCGCCTCCGCCCGCGCCCCGGGCCGCCGCGTCCCGGCCCTGCCCGGCGCCGCCCCCGCCCGGTCCGGCCGCGCGCCGCCGACCCGGAAGCCCCGCCTCGGACCCCCCGGCCGCGGCCCGCGCGGGACGCACCCCCGGACGGCGGCGCCCGATTGGCCGCCGGCGGGGGCGGGACCGGGCGGCCCCGGCGACTCCCCCGGTGCGCCCCGCGGCCGCCGAGCCGGGAGACGGAGGCCCAAGGTCGCCGCGCGGACATCGGTCCCGCCGTGCGCCCGGGCCGGGCTGGCGGAGCCCGGCTGCGCACGGCGCGACCGGGTGGTCTGGGCCGGGAGGGCGCGGGGCGCCGGGCGCGACGAGGGCGACGAGGACGGGGCGGGCAGGCTGAGGGGCGACGCTGCGCCCAGCGAGGCCCGTGGACCGCCGGGCGCCCCTGGCCTGGCCCGCCTCGCGCTGCGCCCGGAGAGCACGGCGCGCCCGCCCGAGCAGGCGCAGGGGGCAGCGGGGCTCCGGGGTTCGGGCCGCTCGGCCCCGCCAAGTTGCTGTAGGTGGGCCGCAGCTGCGGCGTCTCTGGCCCACCCTGCCACGCTTGCGCCTGGCAACCCCCACGAACTGTGACCACCAGCTTGTCGTGGCCAGTCCTTGGGTCACCTCCAGAGCGGCTGTCAACGCTCCACCCCGTGTCTGTGTAGGTTCTCCAACAGGTAGACTTTCTGCTCTGGATGGCCCACATGTTCATGTGGGGATGGAGGCGTCCCCATGCAGGGGTGTGTGTGTGTGTGTGTGTGTGTGTGTCCTGCAGTGTGTGTGTGTGTGTGTGTGTGTCCTGCAGTGTGTGTGTGTGTCTCCTGCAGTGTGTGTGTGTGTGTGTGTGTGTCTCCTGCTGTGTGTGTGTGTGTGTGTCTCCTGCAGTGTGTGTGTGTGTCTCCTGCAGTGTGTGTGTGTGTGTGTGTGTCTCCTGCAGTGTGTGTGTGTGTCTCCTGCAGTGTGTGTGTGTGTGTGTGTCTCCTGCAGTGTGTGTGTGTGTGTCTCCTGCAGTGTGTGTGTGTGTCTCCTGCAGTGTGTGTGTGTGTGTGTGTCTCCTGCAGTGTGTGTGTGTGTGTGTGTGTGTCTCCTGCAGTGTGTGTGTGTGTGTGTGTCTCCTGCAGTGTGTGTGTGTGTGTGTGTGTGTGTGTGTCTCCTGCAGTGTGTGTGTGTGTGTGTGTGTGTGTGTGTGTGTGTGTGTGTGTGTGTCTCCTGCAGTGGGCCGCCCTCCATCCTGTGCCACCAGGTGATGGGACAGGCTTAGAGTTACCATTGTGAAGGTGTATGCATGTCATTGTGGAAACTGGGGGGAAAAAAATCAGGTGCTGGTGCTGAGTGCAGCACGCTAAACATCTGCCTGAAGTTGCCAGGATCCCACATGGGCTCTGGATCGTGTCCCACCTCTCCACTTCCCATCCAGCTCCCTGCTTGCGGCCTGGGAAAGCAGTGGAGGACGGCCCAAGCGTTGACCCTGCTCCTGCGAGGGAGGCCTGAGAGAAGCTCCTGGCTCCCGGCTTTGGATCAGCTCAGCTCTGGCCATTGTGGCTACTTGGGGAGTGAACCAGCAGATGGAAGATACACCTGTCTCTCCTCTCTGTAAATACGCCTTTTAAGTAAAAACAATTTTTAAAAAAGAGAGACAAAATCTGAAAGGGAGGAGGCTAGCGTAGGAAATGTCAGTATGTTCTCAAACTGCTTTATGACATCTGTTCACCTTATATAAATGAAAATGTTTTATAACATTAGGGAGGTGCACAGGAGCCCCACAGCGTCTGCCCTCCCAGGCGCCTGGGCTCAGCAGGCGTGGGATGTGGCAGCCGTGAGCTCCCAGGTTCCAGGGTTTTAGCACACACTGGCTAGCCTTTCCGCTAGATGTCTGTGGGGGGACGTCACTGCTAACCACAAGCTGCTTCTCAGCACGCCTTCCTGGGTGTCCTGAGGGTCGCACGAAGCGGGCACTCTGGCCAGTCTCGGCTGTACACCTGTTGCCCACCTCCCAGGGGTGTTGCTTCCGGGATGCCCCTTTGGGTGAGGGACAGAAGTGGCTGTCAGAAACCTGGCCTGGCACCCAGCCTGCAAGGGTCGGTTACTCCATGCCCAGCTCCCAGCAGGCCATCCTTCCCTCTGCCTCTCCCCCCGTCAGTGTTGATGGAACGGGGATGGTACAACAGCTCCGAAATGCCACCTGTAAGAGCACCGAGCAGGCGCCCAAGGCTCCGGGTGCTTGGGACATGTGTTTCCATGCCGTCCTGGGTCCCTGGGCACGTTTCCCCATCTGAAGCTGTCCCTAGAGGTTTGTTATTACAGCAGGGACATTGTGGCCAGAGAGGCCAGGCTAAGCAGGTCCCCAGGCCAGTCCCGGGTCCCAGGACACAAGGCCCTTGGCTGCCCTGGGATACTTGCCCTCCTGACCAGGGCAGCTGAGGCCTCTGGGCACAGAGCAGGAAGTTAGGCCACCTCTGTCCCACAGAGGAGCAAGCCAAGGGCCGGGGTGACAGACCTCCTAGCGAGACAGCTGTAGGACGGGACGCATGTAGACAGGCCTGGCCAGCAGGGCCTTATGGCCTGGTGGAGAGTCCGGCTTCACAAGGAGGGATTCAGGCTGTATCAGCTTGGTAACGAACACACACAATGGGCTAGCCCGCTGTGTCACCTGTGTGAAACTTGGCACAACATTTGGCGTGCAGGCTTTACAGCCTTCTGTAGGCACAGCAGCCATTGCCAGCAAGGACACCCAACTCCGTAGACTAGTAGACAGGATTTAGCTCCACGTGGACCAGGCCAGCTGCTGGCCTCTGTCTCTCGGGTAGGTCAGGGATGTGGCCTCCCAGCTCCTCCAGGAGACAGTGGCCCTGCTGGGGGTGGACACTGTCCCTTCCCAGCCAGCTACAGGTGTTTTGTGAATGGCTTTTATCCAGTCCATTGCACAGGCCAGAGGGACCTGCTGGGATCTCCAGGTGCTCACCACCCTGTCATGTGTGGCTGGATTTAACACCGAGAGACAAACATGGGCCCTTGAAGGAACCTCTGCGGCTAAGGGCAGGGGTGAGGGGGTGCAGAGGTGGAGAGGGAGTGCAGAGGTGGGGTAGGGGTGCAGAGTGGAGGTGAGGGGATGCAGAGGTGGGGGTGAGGCGGTGCAGAGGTGGAGAGGGGGTGCAGAGTGGAGGTGAGGGGGTGCAGAGGTGGAGGGGGGTGCAGAGTGGAGGTGAGGGGTGCAGAGTGGAGGTGAGGGGGTGCAGAGGTGGGGTGGGGGTACAGAGTGGAGGTGAGGGGGTGCAGAAGTGGGAGTAAGGAGGGCACAGAGGTGGAGGTGAGGGGGTGCACCTCCCAGCTGCTCTTATCTGCCTGGGCCCTCTCTCTGCAAGGCCCACCACCGGGGCAGCCACTGTGGCTCTTGCACCACAGATTGCCGGGCTGGCCTGTCTGTGGCTGTTGGGCACTCCCATAGCCCACCCAGCTCTCTACCCTTCAGAGACCAGGGTGGGGGGAGTGCAGAGACACCCCATGAGTCCTGCTCAGCCCTGGCTCAGAGGAGGGGACTGGACTGGAGTCCCCAGTGTCCCAGGAGGAACAGACCAGAACCCACAACAAACTCAGTGGGCGTCGTTTCCCACAAACCCGAAGAGTCCCGTCCCGGGTGCTGAGAGGGGGCAGCATGGCCGACAAAGCCGTGCCAGGCTCTGGGACTGCTTTTACTGCCAGCCTGTCCTCTAAGCTCCTTCCCAGGTGCTTCCTGGTGCCCCGTGGCGTTCTTCATATTTCATTTTATTTTGGTTTTAAAGATTTATTTATTTATTTCAAGGAGTGAGAGAGAAACGTCTTCCATCTGCCGGTTCACTCCCACGATGATGGCAGCAGCCAGCCCTGGACCAGGCCAAAACCTGCGCCCAGGTGCTTCCTCCGAGTCTCCCACGCGGGCGCAAGGGGCTGGAGCACTTGAGCCACCATGTACTGTCTTCGCAGGTGAGTGAGCGGGAGCTGGGCTGGAAACGGGCCCCTGTGGCATGCTCCACTTCGGACGGCTGCTTTCCTGGCCACGCCAGCATAGCAGCTGTCTCTACATCCTTTAGCCAAGGCCCTCTTAGCCAAGCTGTGTCTGGCCTGCTGCAGGGGGGCGGCCTTGCTCTGGCTGCCCACCCCCACCCGCCCAGGTGAGCTGTGTTTACTGCCCTTGGGAACTTCCCTCCCACTGCCCCAACCCTCTCCTTCGGTTTGATTTGCAAAGCTTATTTTCCAGTCAGCACAGGGAGCTGTGTTGAGACTTGCAGCGTGAATATGCAATGCCTGATTTTCATCTTGGAACAAGGCTGGAGCAGGGTGTGGGCACAAAGCCTGCAGGAGCTGTGCCCACGCGGGGCCTGGCTCTGGCACCATTGGGCACCCCAGGGCGGAGAGCAGGCAGGGGAAGCAGCTTTGCCTGTGAGCTGCAGAGTGTGCATGGCTGGTCAGAGGCAGGAAGGACATGAGAGTCCACAGGCTGGTCAGAGGCCATCGGAGGCTGGGTGACCATGGAGCAGGCCCTGCACCAGGACCTCTGCCAGGCTGTGTGCCAGACCCTCGGACAGCTGCGAAGTGCAGGTGAGGGACTCGCAGACAAGCGGCCCGGGGGGACAGGGTAGGGCACGCTGTCCCTATTCCCACAGTCAC